AGGGGAGCGGGTGTCAGACGAGAGGGGTAGTAGTGGGAGGAGAGTGGGGGTCAGACCAGAGGGGTAGTAGCGGGTGGGGAGCGGGTATCAGACTAGGGGGGCAGTAGTGGGAGGGGAGTGGGTGTCAGACCAGAGGGGCAGTAGCGGGACGGGAGCAGGTGTCAGACTAGGGGGGCAGTAGTGGGAGGGGAGCGGGTGTCAGACCAGAGGGGCAGTAGTGGGAGGGGAGCGGGTGTCGGGCTAGAAGGTTAGTAGTCGTGGGCAGCCTCCTCAACTTCCTAGATTCCCAGACCCAACAAGGCCTCCAAGATCAATTGGCCTATTCACTCCTCTACATGGGCAAGAGCTTACACACACACACACACACACACACACCCCAGGGGTGCGCAAACTTTTCGGCCCGAAGGCCACATCAGGGAATAGAAATTGTATGGAGGACCATGAATGCTCACAAAATTGGGGTTGGGGTGTGAGAGAGGGTGAGGGCTCTGCTTGGGGTTGCAGGCTCTGGGGTGGGGCTGGGGATGAGGAGTTTGGGGCGTAGGAGGGTGTTCTGGCCTGGGACCGAGGGCTTCAGAGTGGGATCAGGCCTGGGGCAGGGGTGCGGGAAGGGGTGCAGGTTCCGGCTGGGGGTGTGGGCTCTGGGGATGAGAGGTTTGGGGTGCAGAAGGGTGGTCCGTGCTGGGATCGAGGGGTTTGGAGAGTGGGAGGGGGATCAGGGCTGGGGCAGGGGGTTGGGGCGTGGGGAGAGGCTCAGGGGTGCAGGCTCCGAGCGGCGCTTACTTCAAGCTGCTCCTGGAAGCAGTGGCATGTCCCTTCTCCAGCTCCTACGTGTGGAGTGGCCCCGACCCTCAGAGCGGGACCATGCCACGGCTTACGGGAGCTGCATGGTGTGGCCCCCAACCCAGCGCCCCAGCTGGAGCGCCAGAGCGGGGCCAACCCACGTGTTGCAGCCCTCGACCCAGCGCCCCAGCAGGAGCTTGCAGGCTGGCTTAAAATAAATAAATGGAGATATACCTAGCTCATAGAGCCAGAAGGGACCTTGAAAGGTCATTGAGTCCAGCCCTCTCCCTTCACTAGGGGGACCAAGTACTGATTTTGCCCTAGATACCTAAGTGACCCCCTCAATGATTGAACTCACAACCCTGGGTTTAGCAGGCCAATGCTCAAACCACTGAGCTATCTCTCCCGTATAGTTTACCCTCCTCTGATCTACAGGATAAGCTGAGACCCCCAACCCTCCCGTAAGCCTGGACCAAATAATTGTATGATGTGGTTTTGTTTTGTTTTTTTAAGGTGGAGAAGGAGAGGACAAGGGCACTTGGCCCATCAAAACCTATCAAGTGTGACACCTTTCACATGACACTCATGCTTTTGGCAGGCAAAGTGTCAAACTCTCCCAGCCCTTAGTATTACACGCCTGACACTTCCCAGTACGTGATCCAGTTTTCAGCTGCTCATATCTTTGCAGCACTATAACCTTTAGGGCTGAATTTTTCCATGCCTGGTGTCTGCGTCAGGCTGAAGTATTTTGGAGAGTTTGGAAGCTAAAATGGTTCAGCTGTTTCTGAGAATGAGTTTACAGAAAAATTCATTATTTTACCCATGCTAAAAATAAATTCTGATGACCTTTTCCTTGAAGAGCTTTACCATCTGCATACTTGGGGCCAGGACTTTGAAATTTGGCAGTGCGGTGCCCTTTTTGATAGTGACGTGCCTTGTTCCATCATTGTGAAAATCAGCCCAAATCTGGCCAAGTTATAAACTTCACTAAAAAAATTTCAAGTTCACACATGTTCAGTAGATGTTTGTTAGAGTGGCAGCTAAATTTTCTGAAGATTCCATCCTTAAGCCAGAGGTCTTGTGGAAAAAATAATATGTGATCATGTAATCAAAGACTGCATCATAATACAGATGCACAAGAGGGCCAAATTAAGGTTCCATGAGCAATCTTGATTCTAGCATTTCCTAATTTTGTGTAAGACTTTGCAATCTTTTATTGTAAGTATTTTTATGGTAATTTTAAACTAAAAGATAAAGAAATTCCAAATGTCCTTTATACTGGGGAAATCTGCCCTGGGCTGGGAGCCAGAAGGTTTGGTCTCAACGACTGAATACTGGTAATATTTCTGTAAAGCTCACAGGTCTTATTATTGACATCACATCTTCAGCTCCGGAGGTAGAAACTATCATTCCCCCATTTTATATATAGGAAAACAGAGGTTATACAAGATCTGGCAGACCTGAATATTAACACAGTTAGGAAGAGAACCCAGGTCTCTAACATTACAGCCTCAAGTCCCTTCCACTCAACCTTTCAAAATAAATGTGCCAAAATGATGAGCTTAGTTATTCTGCTACTAAACCACACTCTGCTCCCAGAGCCAGGAACAGAACCAAGGATCATACCCACCATTTCACTGCTGTCTCACAAATAAGAGTAGCCATACTGGGTCAGACTAATGGTCCATCTAGCTCAGTATCCTATCTTCCAACAGTGGCCAATGCCAGATGCATCAAAGGAATTAACAGAACAGGACAATTATCAAGTGATTCATCCCCTTTTCTCCATTCCCAGCATCTTGCAGTCAGAGGCTTAGGGACACCCAGAGCATGGGGTTGCATCCTTGACCATCTTGGCTAATAGCCATTGGTGGACCTATCCTCCATAAACTTACCTAATTTTTTTTTTGTACCCAGTTATAGTTCTGGCATTCACAACATCCCTGGCAACGAGTTCCACAGGTTCACTGTATGTTTTGTGAAGAAGTACTTTCTTATGTTTGTTTTAAACCTGCTGCCTATTAATTTAATTGGATGACTCCTGGTTCCTGTGCTATGTGAAGGGGTAAATAACACTTCCGTGATCACTTCCTCCACACCATTCATGATTTTGTAGACCTCTATCTTATCCCTCCCTTAGTCATCTCTTTTCCAAGATGAAAAGACGTAGTCTTTTCAATCTCTCCTCATACAGAAGCTGTTCCATACCCCTCATCATTTTTGTTGCTCTTTTCTGTACCTTTTCCATTACTAATATATCTTTTTTGAGATGGGGTGACCAGAACTGCACACAGTATTGTGGACATACCATCCATTTGTATAGTGGCATGATATTTACGGTCTCATTTTTTTATCCCATTCCTAATGGTTCCTAACATTGTTAGTTTTTTGACTGCTGCTGCCCATTGGGCAGATGCTTTCAGAGAACTATTCACAATTACTCCAAGATCTCCTTCTTGAGTGGTAATAGCTTATTTAGACCCCATCATTTTGTCTGTATAGTTGAGATTAGGATTTCCAATATCATTTCTTTGCATGTATCAACACTGAATTTTATTTGCCGTGTTGTTGCATAGTCACCCAGTTTTGTGAGATCCCTTTGTAACTCTTTGCAGTTTGCTTTGGCCTTAACTATCTTGAGTAATTTTGTATCATCTGCAAACTTTGCCACCTCACTGTTTACCCCTTTTTCCAGATCATGTATGAATATGTTGAACAGTACTGATTCCAGTACAGATCCCTGCGGGACACTGCTATTTACTTCTCTCCATTCTGAAAACTGACCATTTATACCTTCCTTTGTTTTCTGTCTTTTAAGCAGTTATTGATTCTTGGGAGGACATTTCCTCTTATCCCATGACTGTTTACTTTGCTTAAGAGCCTTTGGTGAGGGACATTGTCAAAGGCTTTCTGAAAGTCCAAATACACTGTGATGGGTTCCCCCGGGGTGCCACTTGGAACTGGGGTACCACTGAGCCTACCTGACCCACCAGCCTGGGCCCTTTCACTGTACTGATGAGGCAAGCCAGCCAAGCCCTCCCTCAGGCTTTAGACTTCACTTAACCAGCACACATACAGGTAAGGGACACACCCATCTGCAGCTTTTCACACACATGCTGAGGTCAGCTAGAGAACTGCCCAGTACTCAAGTACACACCCCACTCTGGAGTACACACCCAAAATTATACCGTCTTTTGCTGCACAGAGAACTGTACAGCATAAACTCATGAAATTTGCCCTCTTCCTCAATGTGGAGAGAGATATGCAACAGCTTTTGCCCCCCAGTTATGAATTCTACACACTGGGTTTTAGGTAAAACAAAAACAAGTTTATTAACTACAAAAGATAGATTTTATGTGATTATAAGGGATAGCAAATAGATCAAAGCATATTACCCAGCAAATAAAACATAATCTAAGATTAATATACTAAAGAAATTGGTTACAAGTGGCTAATTCTCACCCTAACTGATGTTTTAGGCAGATTGCAGAGACTTGCTTGCAGCTTAAAACTCCAGATATTCCTTTCACAGGCCAGACACTCTCTAGCTTGGGCTCAGCCCTTCCACCCCAGCTCAGTCCTTTTTTTCTTGGGTGTTTCCAGCAGCCTTCTTTCTTGGGCGGGGAGTTAGTGAAAAATGAACTATGACGGGGATGGGGACGGGGATGGGGAGGGATAGCTCAGTGGTTTGAGCATTGGCCTGCTAAACCCAGCATTGTGAACTCAATCCTTGAGAGGGCCATTTAGGGATCTGGGGCAAAAATCTGTCTGGGGATTGGTCCTGCTTTGAGCTGGTGGTTGGACTAGATGACCTCCTGAGGTCCCTTCCAACCCTGATATTCTATGATGTCACTTCCCTCCCTTAAGTAGGCTTTGCGTATATCTGGAATCCTTTGTCTCCCAGTTTGATTCCCACCCCCAGTCAGGGGAAGAATACTAATATTATTATGGAGTCCAGT